TTCTTCCTAATGTTTAGGTGGAATCTTCTTTCTTGTAGTTTGGATCCATTGCTCCGTGTCCGCTTCTCTGGAGCAGCAGAAAACAACCTTTCTCCCTCCTCTATGTGACATCCTTTTATATATTTGAACATGGCTATCATATCTCCCCTTAACCTCCTCTTCTCCAGGCTAAACATGCCCAGCTCCCTTAGCCGCTCCTCATAAGGCATCGTTTCCAGGCCTTTGACCATTTTGGTTGCCCTCCTCTGGACACGTTCCAGTTTGTCAGTGTCCTTCTTGAACTGTGGTGCCCAGAACTGGACACAGTACTCCAGGTGAGGTCTGACCAGAGCAGAATACAGTGGCACTATTACTTCCCTTGATCTAGATGCTATACTCCTATTGATGCAGCCCAGAATTGCATTGGCTTTTTAGCTGCCATGTCACACTGTTGGCTCATGTCAAGTTTGTGGTCAACCAAGACTCCTAGATCCTTTTCACATGTACTGCTCTCAAGCCAGGTGTCCCCCATCTTGTATTTGTGCCTCTCATTTTTTTTGCCCAAGTGCAATACTTTACATTTCTCCCTGTTAAAATTCATCTTGTTTGTTTTGGCCCAGTTCTCTAATCTGTCAAGGTCGTTTTGAAGTGTGATCCTGTCCTCTGGGGTGTTAGCCACCCCTCCCAGTTTGGTGTCATCTGCAAATTTGATCAGGATGCCCTTGAGTCCATCATCCAAGTCGTTGATAAAGATGTTGAATAAGACCGGGCCCAAGACAGAACCCTGTGGCACCCCACTAGTCACTCTTCTCCAGGATGAAGAGGAACCATTGATGAGCACCCTTTGGGTTCGGTCAGTCAGCCAGTTACAAATCCACTGAGTGGTAGCATAGTCAAGACCGCATTTTACCAGCTTCTTACAAGAATATCATGGGGCACCTTGTCAAATGCCTTGCTGAAATCAAGGTAGGCTACATCCACTGCGTTCCCTTCATCTACCAGGCTTGTAATTCTGTCAAAAACGAGATCAGGTTAGTCTGACATGACTTATTTTTCAGAAATCCATGCTGACTATTGGTGATCACAGCATTCCTTTCTAGGTGATCACAGACTGTTTGCTTAATGATCTGCTCCAGAATCTTCCCTGGTATTGATGTCAGACTGACTGGGCGGTAATTATTTGGGTCCTCTCTTTTCCCCTTTTGAAAATAGGGACAACATTTGCCCTCCTCCAGTCTGCCGGGACTTCGCCTGTTCTCCAGGAATTCTCAAAGATGACTGCCAGTGGTTCTGAGATCACATCTGCCAGTTCTTTTAATACTCTTGGATGCAGTTCATCTGGCCCTGGAGACTTGAATACATCTAAACTAGCCAAGTATTCTTGTACTATCTCCTTAGTTATTCTGGGCTGTGTTTCCTATGCTGAATCATTTGCTCCAAATTCTTCAGGTCGGGCATTGTTTTCTTTATCGGAGAAGAATGAGGCAAAGAAGGCATTGAGGAGTTCGGCCCTTTCTGTGTCCCCTGTTTGCATTTCACCATCTTCTCCTCTGAGTGACCCCACTGTTTCTTTGTTCTTCCTTTTGCTACGAACATACCCATAAAAGCCTTTTTGTTGCTTTTAACCTCTCTAGCAAGCCTGAGTTCATTCTGTGCTTTAGCTTTTCTGACTTTGTGTCTACACGTGCTGGCTATTTGTTTGAATTCCTCTTGGTGGTTTCCCCCCTTTTCCATTTTTTGTACACATCCTTTTTTAATCTTAACTCAGTTAAAAGTTCTTTAGATAGCCACCCTGGCTTCTTTAGGCACCTTCCATGTTTCCGTCTCATTGGTATTGCCTGAAGTTGTGCTTACTATCTCCCTCTTAACAAACTCCCAGCCATCATGAACTCCCTTTCCTTTTAGTATTATTGTCCATGGGATCTCACCCAGCACTTCCCTAAGTTTTATGAAGTCGGCTTTCTTAAAGTCAAGAAATTGAGTCCTAGTATGCTTGGCTGCTCCTTTCCGCTGTATAGTAAACTTCAGAAGAGCATGATAACTCGTGCCTAATGATCCTTCCACTTCTACCCCCACTAACCAGGTCATCAACATTGGTTAGGACCAGATCTAAAATGGCTGTTCCTCTTGTTGCTTCTCCCACTTTCTGGACAATGAAGTTGTCTGCAAGGCCAGTGAGGAATCTGTTTGACCTTATGCTCTTGGCTGAGTTTGACATCCAACAAATATCCGGGTAATTGAAGTCCCCCATTACTACTATCTCCTTCCTTTTGCATGCTTGGCCATCTGTTCCAGGAAGGCATCATCCATGTCCTCCGTTGGCTTGGGGATCTATAGTAAACTCCCACAACGAGGTCACTGTTATTCTTCTCTCCCTTAATTTTGACCCAAATGCTCTCACTTTGGCTTTGAGGTTCTAAATCTTGGATCTCTTCACAGGTATACACATCCCTGACATATAACGCCACTCCTCCTCCTTTCTTGTCTGGTCTGTTTCTCTGAAATAGATTGTATCCCCCATTATTACATTCCAATCGTGGGACTTATCCCACCAGGTTTCAGTGATGCCTATTATGTCATATTTAGTTTGCTGTACCAAGAGCTCAAGCTCATCTTGTTTATTTCCCATGCTTTGCGCATTAGTGTACAGACATTGGAGTCCATTAATCATTCCCCCGTGTCTCTTATTTAAGGATTTTTTCCTCCCACCACTGGAGGAATGGCAGATGAAACTGATGGACTATATGGAACTGGCGGAAATGACTGGTAGAATCCGTGACCAGGGAGAAGAGTCGGTGGAGGAAGATTGGAAGAAATTCAAAGACTATCTGCAGAAACATTGTAAAATTAAAGAATGTTAGAGTGATGTTGGATTAAAAATAAGTGGCTTCCAGCTGTTTAGGATTTAAAATTATGGATAGATTAAGATTAAGGATTAGGATTAAAAAAGTTTAAGGAAATGGAAATTTGGTTTTTAAAAAGGTAAAATTATAATGTTATATTATATTAAGAGTTAAGATTGGGATTAGAAAAGAGGGAAAGAAATTGCTGGACAAACAATTTGAACTGGAATACAAAAGAGGGAGGTACGAGGAGGTCCAGAAAATAAGTAAATTTAAAGATGGAGATGAAAAGGTGATATTGTTTTTAATTGTTCTACTTTCTTTTTTTGTCTTTTGTTTTTTTTGTTGTTCCTTTATTATTATTTTTCTGTTAGATTACGTATTGTGTATTTTTGAATTGTGTATTTCTTTTTTATGTTTTATGTTTAAGCTTTTATTGAAACTTTAATAAATATAATTTAAAAAAAAAAAAACTAACAGAGTAATGTAGGAAAGGGGTCCGTTTGGCAGCATCTAACAACCATGACACCCAGAAACACAATGAACACCCGAGTGCTGCGAATGAACAAGAGGGAATTGTCAGTATCATTGTGCCTTCCTGGCAGGACCCTCCTGGTGAATGTAATGCGCTAGATAGTCAGGCACTTCATAACAGTCCAGCCAGACATACAAGGAATTAGTATGAGTCTCATTTAGCAGAGATTCCATTGCAGGGGTTGGACTGGATGAGCCTCATGACCCCTTCCAACTCTACAATTCTATGAGCAAGGAGGAAAGGACTACTTTTTAAATATATTTGGGGGCTTTAGCTTAAGAGCAGGTCCAAATGTGCTCCAGCCACACTTTAACCTTTGTGTGATAATCCTGCAAGTTGCGTTTTGGAACCAGTAAGGCAACAGCCTGGCCACATGAAGCAGGATGTTGGTGGCGGCAGCAGCTGTGTCGAGAATTGATTGCATTGGCAAGATTGCTGTGCATGCAGAAGTCATACAGTGTGGAGGTGCTCAGAAGAGCTTCTAGACTTTAAGAAACATTCATGAGAAGGTTTGGGAAGAGGAGAGGGGAATATTGCACACAGCTGATCGCAGAGAAACCATCGGCTCACCTGGTCCTTCCATAGTCACACGCAACAGCAGCAAACAGGAAAACAAGGAATATGCTCTCGGGCAGAAAACATTAATGGTTCTACTGCTGGGACTTATGTGGTAGCCTCATAACAGAAACAGGGAAGGTGCAGAACAAAAATAAATGTAAGCTTATTCAGCGGCGTAGCGTGGGTTGTCAGCACCCGGGGCAAGGCAAGTAATTTGCGCCCCCCAGTGGCGTAGCGTGAGCAGAGTGCAGCGGCCGCCCAGCGCAGCGCTGAGCGCGGGAGAGAACCAGACCAGACCAGGCAACAGCAAGAAGAAGCTGGCAGCGGCGGCAGGTTAGGGGTTAGGGGGCGCAAATTACTTGCCTTGCCCCGGGTTAGGGGGCGCAAATTACTTGCCTTGCCCCGGGTGCTGACAACCCACGCTACGCCGCTGCCAGCTTCTTCTTGCTGCTGCCTGGTCTGGTCTGGTGTGGTTCTCTCCCGCGCTCAGCGCTGCGCTGGGCGGCCGCTGCACTGTCCCTCCCCCAGATAGTCCCTCGCTCTCTCTCCGCACCGCACGCCTGGCTAGGACGCGCTCCACAGTGGGCGGCGACCCAGCGGCTCGGATCGGATTCGCACAGCCAGCACTGCAGTGAGAGAGAGTGAGTGAGCCAGGTAGGGGCAGAGAGCTGCGAGTGCGAGCGTGCCCCCCCCAGATGTTGCGCCCGGTGCAGCCGGCCCCCCCTGCACCCCCCACGCTACGCCACTGAGCTTATTCAGTTCAGTCCCACTGGGATGAAGCAGGGCCCTATTTTCTCATTTCCATGTTTCCAGCAGAGGAGACCCCAAGGGTTGTTAGGACGTTCTCGGATCTTCTTTGTCTTTGCCCCATAGATGATGGGATTCATCATGGGCGGAATCAAGACATAGATGTTGGCAACAATAATGTGGACGCAGGGGTTGACCCTGTGGCCGAATCGGTGGGTGAGGAAGGAGAAGAATGCCGGAGTGTACGAGATCAGGATGACACAGATGTGGGAGCCGCAAGTGCCCAGGGGATTTGGCCCGCGCCTCCTTGGTAGGCAGCTGGAAGACCGTCCGCAGGATCAGGGTGTAGGACAGGATGATGAAGGTGAAATCCAGCCCCCAGTCAGGAAGGCAACAGTCAAGCTGCATGCTCTGGGGGCACGGGTATCTGCACAGGTCAGTTTCACCAGCGCCATGAACTCACAGTAGGTGTGGGAGATGACATTTCCCCTGCAGTACGGGAGCCACTTCAGCAGGAAAGGGTGGGGCAGCAGGAGCACAGCCCCCCGAATCAAAACAGCCAGCCCAATCTTGATCACAACGGTTTTGGTCAAGATGGCGGAGTGTCTCAGCGGGTTGCATATTGCCACGTAACGGTCGAAGGCCATGGCAGCGAAGAAGCCCGACTCCATGGTGGAGAAGGAATGGATCAGGAACACCTGGGCCAGGCAGGCACTGGTGTGGATGCCTCTGTCCTGAAGCCAGAATATAGCCAGGATTTTCGGTAAGGTGGTAGTCGAGACCACAAGATCTGCCACTGCCAGCATGCAGAGGAACAAGTACATGGGCTCATGGAGGCTGGGCTCCTTCTTGATGACTGCCAAGAGGAGGCAGTTCCCCAGAAGGGAGAGGATGTAGATGGAGCAGAAGGGGATGGAAATCCAGACATGGAAGGCTTGCAGTCCCGGGATCCCAAGAAGGATGAAGGTGGAGGGGTGGAGCAGAGTCCAGTTAGCAGCTGACATGCCAGAACTGGGGACGTGGGCCTGCTCACTTCTGAAACATGGTGGCCTTTCTGAAAGGAAGCAAGCGTTTAGATGTGCTAAGAACATAAGAAGAAGCTGACAAAACAGGGTCACAGCCCATCTCAAGTGGCATCCTGTTTTCACAGTGGCCAACCAGATACAAGTGGGGAACTCACAAGAAGGATTCAAGCACAAGAGCAGCGCTCTCGCCTGCCATGGTTTCCAGGAACTGGCATATCTGTTGGTCATATGAGATGTGCCTGAACGAGGACCATCTATCCTGAGCGCCAATCCCTCTGTCCCTCAACACTGTCAAGGTGGTAGCACATGACCTGGATTCTTTGCAGCATGCTGAGCAGGGAATGAGCTCAGCCAGAAGGACTTGTGATATGTGTGTGAATCTGTGTGTGTCAAGAGCAACAAATAACCCTGGCAAGGATCCAAGCAGTGCCTCAAGCAAAAATTGAATAACTTTCCAAACAAACTTTATTTGTTTTGTTCCATTCACAGGGATGGAATTCCAGCAATAGAACACACAATGATAAGAAACAATTGTAAGATACACAAAACCATTCCAAACAGGAATGTTTCACTTTCTATGAAGTGGGCTAATCCTTCTCCACGATTCACTGGTAAGGTTAAGATCAGTGAGAATTAGACATGCTTGGGATCCTGTTGTTTGTTTCCAAAGTTGGGTCTTAAATCAGTTCTACATGCAGAGGCAACACTTTCTCCAGCAAGAGCAGACTCTACTATTTATCTGAGGAAACTTTGGATTAGGAATAGGGAGCGAAGTTCATTCAGTTTACAGTTCAACATAAACCAGCCTAATTTGCTCTTCCTGAACCACTAAGCAGTCCAAAATGCAGCTAGCCTTGAAAATCTGCACTTCTCAAAATTTGCAGCCTTTCCGCCAACACAAAAATGTGTTTATTAAGGGTTGCACGCAACCACGGGTTAATGGGAACAAGGGACAAAAACGCATTGCCTTGTGGCAAATGGCTTGCAAAAGTGTGTCGGCTGGACAAGGCGGTAGGCAAAAGTGTGTCTGTGTTTCTGTGCACCCATTAAAAATAAACCACAAACTGGTGCAGAAATGGGGCAAAGGAAAATGAGACTCAAAAAAGAGAAACTGAGAGAAACCAAAATTGACAGACACACCTCTTCCACATTATTTTTTAAATTAAACATGCATTTATTCAAAAGTTGCATTACAGCTTTGTCCACTGCCATAATACCACAGAACAACCACTCCAATCCTCAGTCTTTAATCACCTTCACGTTGGCTTACCCAATACCCTCAAGAGGAACCCAGCTACCTTTCCCCATTTTGATCCAAGGACATTTCTGAAATTCAGTAGCAGTTTCTGGAAGCCACAGGATTCCCTGTATTTACCTGTTCCCGTGTCAGCAGCAGCAGCAGCTGGTAGAAGGCGAGGGCATCTCCTGGGGTGGTCAACAGGCAACAGGCAGGATGCCCAGGAAAGACAGAAGGCAGAAGTTGGAACTCAGAGGTTTTTATGCACCTCTTGCTCAGGGGGCAGGCAAGGTCCCAGCAGATTTGCACCATCTGATGAGAATTGCTACAATCACACACAGATTCAGCCTGGATCTAAATGTGTGTTTAATTACCAGTTGTGCAGGAGGGTGGGGGAGCCTCCCTGAACTGCAGTGGGTGGGTGTTGAGGGTGTGAGTTGGAGCAACTCTTCTGGGGGAAGGATAAGGGGCATTCCCAGGAGTGCTTTGCTGCTCAGCACTTCAGCACAGGGTTCAGGTGATGGAACATGGCCTGCGCCAAGGATGCTCAGCAGCCCTATATGGTTACAACAACCCTGTAAAGTAGGCATATTGCAGCTGTGGGGGCTCCTGAGGCTGAGACAGGGGCCTAGCTAAAGACACCAAATTACACAAGGGCAGAGGCTGGAACCGGGGACCCCCAGCTATGTAGCTCATAGCACAGTCCTCACCAGGCCTACTCAGAAGAAGTTAATCCCTTTGAATACAATGAGGCTTGCTCCTGGGTAAATGCCGGTGTCATCTGTACTGAGCTAGACAGATCTAGCTTCCTCAGATCAGCAAAGTTCCCTGGGTTGAGAGAATGGTGCCCCCTGCTCAGGCTGGCGTGAACACACTGGCGCCCTAGCCCACCCCTCAAGGCCATTACCCAGGACCGGATTAAGCATTCAGCAAAATAAGCACATGCTCAGGGCATCAAGGGAAGGGGCAATTCAGACACTTCCCATGCTGGATTTTTCACATTAATGGTCACTAATTGCTCAGCTGAGCTTTCCTTTCCTCAGCTGAAGTCTATGCAAAATCCCAACAGAACTACTCTGCAACAAAGGCAGGCTGAGAGTCTTATCTCTCTCAAGAATAGAAGGAGATGCAACGTGGAAGATGAGTTTTGATAATGCAATCAGAAAAAGTAGGATCCCCCCCCAAAAAATATAAAGTGGAAGTATACAAAAATAAACATTCTTTCCCATCTTACTGTAAATTTTGTTTCATTTCAAAAAATAAATGGACCACTTATAAACGCCATCTCCAATTCCTTGAAAGATTCCATCAACGGTGTCTCTGAAAACTTTTGCACATCACTTGGGAAGACAGGCGAACTAAGGCCACTGTACTGGAAGAAGCAAAGATCACCTGTGTTGAAGCGATGATTCTTCAACATCAACTTCATTGGACTGGTCATGTTGTGTGGATGCCTGACGTCTTCCAAAGCAACTACTCTATTCCGAACATAAAAATGGAAAGTGTAATGCTGCTGGTCAACAAAAGAGGTTTAAAGACTGTCTCAAGGCAAATCTTAAAAAATGTAGTATAAACACTAACAACTGGGAAACACTTGCCTGCGAGCGCTCCAACTGGTGTCCAATTGGTGTTTACCAAAGGTGTCATGGCTTTGAAGACAGTTGAACTCAGTACACAAAGGAGAAACGTGCCAAGAAGAAGGCACACTTGGCAAACCCACACTGCCCAGACAATGTCCCCACTGTGGAAGGACATGTGGATCCAGAATTGGCCTCCACAGTCATTTATGGACCCATTGTTAAAACCGTGTTTATGGAAGACAATCTTACTCGGCTACGAGTGATTGCCAAAGAGAAGACACTCAGGTTAAATATGAGAGTAAATAAAACTATCTAACATAAAGACACCACAGTCTCCACTGACCTTCGTTTCAAGGAAACCAAAGATGGGCCAGGGGTCCCTGGAGTCTCACCGCTCAGAGACTGGGGTAGTTTGCAAATAGAAACACACACACACAAGAATGTATTGCTGTGTTCCTAATACAGTGGTACCTCTACTTACAGTCACCTCCAGTTACATATCCTTTGGGATACGCACCCGGCAAATTTCTGGGTTTCACCGTGTGCGCATTCGCAGGAGCACTCTATGCACTGCATGTATGTGCAGAAGTGCGCTAACGTGCCACGTGCGTGCACAGAAGCGGCACCTCCAGTTGCAGAAACCTCGGGATCTGACTGGAGCTCTGGAATGGATCCCATCTGCAACCGGAGGTACCACTGTACATAGCCATGTGTGAAGAACTTTTAGATACATCCATCCTCCAACCACCTCCAGACACTCACACAGGCCCTTCACCACCTTCACTGGTTCTGATTTTAAGGAGAGGTAGAGCTGGGTATCATCTGCATACTGATGAACACCCAGCCCAAAGCCCCTGATGATCTTTCCCAGCGGCTTCATATAGATGTTAAAAAGCATGGGGGAGAGGACAGAACCCTGAGGCACCCCACAAGTGAGAGCCCAGGGGTCTCATCCCCCATCACCACTTTCTGAACATGGCCCAGGAGGAAGGAGAGGAACCACTGCATAACAGTGCCCGCAGCTCCCAGCCCCTCTAGCCAGTCCAAAAGGATGTCGTGGTTGATGGTATCAAAGGTCGCTGAGAGATCCAGCAGAACTAGGAAGCACCTTTGTCCCTAGCCTGCCAGAGATCATTGACCAGTGCAACAAAGGGAGTTTCAGTCCCATGATTAGGTCTGAATCCCAATTGGAAGGGTCTAAATGGTCCACAGCATCCAGGCATGCCTGGAGTTGTTCAGCAACCACCCACTTGATCACCTTGCCCCAAAATGAAAGATTTGAGACTAGGTGATAGTTGGCCATATTGGCCGAGTCTAAGGATGTTTTTTTAATGATATATAATGAATTAAAAAAGGTATTCAAATATACCTTCCCCAAGAAACCAGAGGCCTTTCTCCTGGGCATAGTCGGCCAAATGGTGATAAAAAAGGATAGAACTTTCTTTATGTATGCAACAACAGCAGCAAGAATACTCATTGCAAAGTATTGGAAGACACAAGAACTTCCCACACTGGAGGAATGGCAGATGAAACTGATGGACTATATGGAACTGGCGGAAATGACTGGTAGAATCCGTTACCAGGGAGAAGAGTCGGTGGAGGAAGATTGGAAGAAATTCAAAGATTATTTACAGAAACACTGCAAAATTAAAGAATGTTAGAGTGATGTTGGATTGAAAATAAGTGGTTTCCAGCTGTACAGGATTCAAAGTTATAGATAGACTAAGATTAAGGATTAGGATTAAAGAAGTTAAGGAAATGGAAATTTGGTTTTAAGAGGTAAAATTTTAATGTTATATTATATTAAGATTAAAGAGTGGGATTAAAAAAGTGGGAAAGAAATTGCTGGACAAACAATTTGAACTGGAATACAAAAGAGGGAGGTATGAGGAGGTCCAGAAAATAAGTAAATTTAAAAATGGAAATGAAAAGGTGATATTGTTTTTAACTGTTCTTTTTCTTTTTTGTCTTTTGTTTTTTGTTCTTTTTTCTTTTTTGGATTATGTATTGTGCATTTTTGAATTGTGTATTTCTCTTTTATGTTTTTCTGTTTAATCTTTTATTGAAACCTTAATAAATATCATTTAAAAAAAAAAAAGGATGTTTTTTTAAGAAGCGGTTTAATGACC